TTGTGTCCTCAGCCCTGTGTCTCATCCCTGCTACTGACATCTTATCAAGGTCTTTTGTGAGGAGCAGAGTGGTGGGACAGTCAGCATGGACTGTCTGTGGCTGGATGATGTCTCCTCTTGTCACTGCCTTTCCCTGGGCAATGCTGGGATTTGGAGAACCTGGGTGCTGGTGGCCAGCCCAGGTTGAGAGTCTCCCACCCCTGTGGATTGTGTCACCGCTTCAGGGAGAAGCAGAAAGGAATGTTTTGCTCCAGCTGCGCCCCCTCCTGCTGGGACTTGCCCACAGTGCCAGGTCCCTCTCCACTTCCCAAGTTTCTGTGTTTCTGGAAGCCAGTGCCTTTGTGCTTCCCCCCACAGCCTCAGGAAGGAGCTGGAGTTTCTGTCCCTCCAGAGTGGAGTACAAGGGCCAGAATAACCCTGTGACAACTAAAGAGAGCCCAGAATCCATCACCATGTGGGCCATGCTGCACAGTCATCCCTTTCTTGCCTCTGGATATTGTCAATACTGAGGATAAGCAGTTCTTTTTTCTTTTGGAACTAACTTCTGTTAGTTTGAGGGTTAGCTGATATGCTGAGTATGCAGTGAGCAACCACAACACGGCTCTGACCTTTAAGATCTCCTCAGGTGACAGTCCCTTTACTCTGTCCAGTGGGCTTCTCATCAGCCTTTCTGGGAGAGGCCATCATATCCTGGCCAGGGCCTGCATAATATTTTGTCCCTTTTGGTTTGAATGTCAGAGTTTGTGCTCTCTGCAGCCCTCCTGGATCAAGGGTGATAGAGACAAGGACCCTTTGCACCTGTGCTTAGGACTGTGGAACTGTTCTGCCTTGCTTGCCCTGTAAAATAGGTCCTATCTAGGGGTGCTCCAGGAATTCTCTCAGCCATCTGTTTTGGCAGCAGTTCTTTCATTGGCACAATGACAAGACCAGGCCTCCATCCTGGGAGCACTCCTGAGGTGACAAGGACACACTCCAAAGGACAGCGTGTGAGAGCCTGAACAAAGGAAATCTGCAAATACTCAAATGGTGCCCCAGGGGTGCAGCTCTACTTTTCTCCTCCTGCCTTTGCTGAGTTGTCCTCCCTGCCTGAATCCTGAAGAATCTGTCAGGAAAATTCATCCACGATGCCAGAGGTTTATGTCCAAAAGGAGACAGACTCCTGTAACTTTATTCAAATAAAGACAGAGGCCATTAGCATTTCCCATGGAGTCTCTCAAAATGTTGGGGGACACAGCCTCCTTTTTATCCTAAGCTCCCAGCAACATCTCCCTCTTCCTTTCCCCCACTTTCAGAAGAACCTGAATCACCTGAATCACCTACTCTATGTCCCCCTCTAATATGCACCTCCATATTGTATTTGAGAGGAATGACAGGTTTGTCTTTACAAACAAGCTGTGGGTCTGCTAATGAAACTATCACTGAGAGATAACAGAAACAATGGGATGGATTCCACTGAAGGATGAAAGAGACACTGAGAAAACACCAGGAATTCCAGAAGAGTTAAGAATTAAGAAGGGGACTATGCATTGGGCGGGGAGGGAGGGGGCGCGGGGTGGGGGGGAGGGGAGGTATCCCAGGTAGCAGGCATTCCCGGCAGT